TATAAAAATCTAGTATCAGAGCTTATAAATAATAATTTTAAGTAAAAAAGTTATTTTTATAACAAATATAAATTTAAGGATTAAAAGATCAAAAAAATATAGTCAGAGGACTAACGGTTCTCTAACAGAATATGAAGTTTTCCGTTATCTTTGACTAACTAGATGAAATTGAAATGAATCTGAAAGTTAATAGACCACTTAGAAATAAAACATAGTTTATAGACTAAAATGAAATCAAGGTGATAGTTAATAGATTAAAACTTAAATTAAGCCAACAAATTATAACAAAACTTTACCACAAAACTTATCAACTTTTCAAACAGTATTTTTCTAACCACTTTTTCAGTGAAAACTTTCTTAATAAAATTGTCCATCTAACCAACCAAGCCCTTAGGAAAGTTGGGAAAAATTTTATGCCCCAAAAAAGTCTGAAAAAAATGTTTGCTAGTAGGAATTGTGTCCGAAAAGTAAATGTTAAAAATATTTATCTTTCTTTTGTTGTTATAGTATTAAGGTATGAAGTTATGTATATAACCATATAAGGTGAAAAGTTTAGAGAGACTTTTCTTCCTAACCAAACACCCTTAAAATAAATTTGACTTCGGGTGATTGGACTAATTAAATTAAGACATATTTTGGCTTTGTTCACTAAATCAAGAAAGAAAGTCAGATGAATCCACCATAAATAATTTTCCCTTTTCTCTTTTTAAAGAACAACAAGTGGTTAGTTGGTTAGCACAACTCTACGAGGATGTTTGGTTAGAGCAAAATTTTATTGATAAAGTGTTTGGAAAAGTATGGTTAATAACCTATAAATTTTGTAATAAAATTTTATTACGTTGTTAATTTTTTTGTGTTTATTAAGAAATTAACATATGAAAAGTTTTCCAAAAAAAAAAACAAAAAGAAAAGCTAGTTAGTTGTTAAGTGGGTCCATATAAGAAAAGTTGAGAAAAAATATCTTTTCTTCAAAAATCATTGGAATAAAAATTTATAAGTTAAGAATTGTATTAAAAAGATAAAAACTAAAAAATTCACTTCCAACTTTTATTTATTACTATTTCCGTTCATTTTTAATACTTATAGTCTAATTTTTTAATTTTTCAAACATATAATTTTAGATAAAAACTTATCATATTAATGATAATTGAAAATTTTTTAATTATTATTTATATGAATTATTAAACTTTTATTTAAATTCACATTTAAAAAATTAAATTAAAACTATTAAAAAAATTAACAAAAGGAGTATAATTTTTAAAGTGTATACCCCATTATAAAATGGTAGAGAGATTTTATGAAAAAATAAACCAAAGCCACCCTAAAAGGTGGTTAGTTAATTCGCAAGATTAAGTTTCGAAATAGTAGAGGTAAAGTCTGGCATAAAAAAAGAGTAAAGAAAAACATAAACTGTTAATAAAAGCCTTATTATCACTAAAAATTTCTCAATTTAACGGAAAAAAAAAAAAAGTCATTATCATCTTCCTACTTTAAAACTAGTCATAAATATCCTGTAAACTTTTGAGAATCCCTCTCTGCATGACGCCGTCACACCCGGTTAGAATTCTCCAAATTTTAATGGTAAAATAACATTAGCTTATCCCTTAGCTTCCAATTTATATTCACTTTGATCCTTGAGTTTTACATGTATTCAATTTGATCTCCAGTTTTAACTTATAATTACAATTTAGTTCTTAAACTTTTAAAAAAGATGTATTTAAATCTCAAAATTTTTAATTTTATAATTAATTTCAGTTCTCTTTTTACACAAATAATAAAAATTATGTAACTTTCAATAAAATTACATTTAAGTATTCAACTTGTTCAAATATTAATAAAATCAATTCTAAAATAGTAAACTAAAATATATATAAAAGGGGGTGATGTTATTGTCATACCCTTAATTACTAATGTCACACCCTTAATTACTAATGTCACACCTTTTTATTTTGATTAACTATTATATCCTTTAATAAATTAAGAAATAAAACAAAGGGTAAATTTTTTTAAAAAAGTGTAATGTAAGGGTGCAATAGACAATATATTAAAAAAGTGTAGCATTAACTATTTAGAGTGTTGTAATAACCCCACCCAATAAAAAGAACCTTATTTTACAATTCAAACTACACCAATTGTAAAACAAAAACCATTGAATGGGGGAGTGACCACAATATTAGGGGGCCTAACTATCATCCAATGTTTAGTGTTGTGCAATTTAGTATAATCCGGACTGCACAACACTTTTTTCATTTATAAAACTCATATCATTAAAGTGTAAAATCATGTTTTTGATATCTATTTGTCACAAAAATGTCTTTGATACCAATTTAAAATCCCATGAAGTGCTATAACTAAATTGATGAAGCTATAGAAGATGTAGATATGACTTATGGGTGAGTGTAAATATGATTGTATAACATCTTGAACTAATGATAACTTCGCGTAATATTTCTATGGGTATGAGTATATAACAAGTAAAAGAAGACAAGTATCTCTTATTTACAATTTTTTCATCATGATGTTGTTTCTCTTATGTATGTACAATTAGTTAAATGTGTTTTTTTAAAAAAAAAATTTAAGGATCTCAAATTGAGCATAAAAGATGTGATTTTTCACTTTGAATAAATGAATTTTACATAATTTAGTTTACCTTTTTAACCTTAATATTTTAGATGAGTTAAAAGTGATTTTATTGGATTTTTACATTATTTTTATTAGGTTAAACGTCAATTTTAGTTCCTCAACTTTAGAGTTTTGCATAATTTCTGTCTTTTAATTATGAAAAATACACTTTTTTAGTCTTTCCATCAGTTAGTCTATTAAGTTTGTCTATAAATGTACACTTGTAGTCCCTCAGCTTTAGGAATTTACACAATTTGTTTCTCAACTTGAAAATTTAGGGAGTAAAAATGTACATATATATACTTAACAGACTAACTGATAAAAGAACTAAACAAATGCATTTTTCATAGTTAAGGGACTAAAAAAGCACATAAAAAAGTCAAGGGACTAAAACTATACAAAAACCCAAAGTTAAGGAAACACAATTGGCATTTAACCTTTTTATTATTTGCAAACAAGACTGGAATGTATGAGGTTAGAAATTTTGAGGGTTAAGTAAAACTTTTTCAAAAGTTTAGGACTAAATTACAATTAAAAAAGTTAAAATAGGGACCAAATTTAATAAATTTGAAGTTGGAGGATCAAATTGCATAAGAAGCAAAAGGTGAGATACCAATCAAATTGGAAGGATTTTAACGAATGCATTGACAGTGTTATAGCGTTAGTCAATAGAAGGATGATGCTTGGTTCTTCTCTTCTTCAAAGTTCAAGGATATTTATAACTTGTTTTAAAATAGAAGGATGACAATGACTCATTTTACAAAGTTGGAGAATTTAAACATGAGGAATAGGGATGGGACCATGAGGGAGTATCTTTCATTGTCTTTAAGGGTTTTGTAACACCGCAAAAATTAAGAGCTTCAGCTGTCGTAGCTCCGTTCTTAAAGGAATTATCTTCTCCATGATCTCATCCAAATGCCAGCATTTAAATCATAATTTTCTTTTTTGATAAAAAATTTAAAATCAAGAGAAAAGGAGAAATCAATATATTTTAATTAAAGAAATTGTCAATTTGGGCAGAGTTTCAATTCTTAAATTTTTATATTTTTCAATTTTGTCCCTAAAATAATATAATTTAGGTGATATACATTATGATTAACTATCAAAGGGGAGTGTGAATTGCTTTGCATTCAACGCTTGACGTCATATAAGAATAATCGTAGTAAGGGACATAATTGAAAACATTAAAAATTTCAGGACTAAAATTCTATCCACACTGACACTTTTTCTTGTCAGTCCCGATTGATTTGTCATTCACGCTAAAATCCAAAGTTAACAAGGGGGACAGCTGTCTTACCTTCAAGATAACAGCATCCGCATTAGGTACGGCTTCAAACATGTCGCCTCCAACATGTGAGACCCCCTGATGCGTCGGCGCCGTCGCCACAACATGTGGTAAATCAAAGTTTATACCTTTGATATGCGGATGCGCTCTCACAATCTCCACCAACAGGCTACCGGTACCGCCACCCACGTCCGCCAGCGATCCCAGGCAGCTAAACCCTTCTTTATACCCAAACAGAATTCCTCTTGTAACGACTTTCGAAGTACAAGCCATGGCATCGTTGAAAAGCTTGTTGAAATCAGGATCCCTCGACGCAAGCTCCCAAATCTCACTGCCATGAGCCTTCTCGAAGGCAATTCCACCTGAAATATGTTGTCAGTTGCTTCTTAATTGATGCATGCTTTGGGCATGTTTATACAAGAGTTTCTATGAAATTGAAGACTAGGCAATATAAAATCAAAAATGTTTTGTACCGTCCGGCCTCTAATAAAGGCGGATCGCACAAAACTAGCCTTTGAATGAGGAGCCCTGCTCAATTTGGGGCCTCCTCCCTCATCCAAAGTCCATTTTCTGCACTTTGGTGCAGTTTTAACTGTAATAACACCTTCTTTGATGCAGCGGCTGAAACAGTGCCAGGGAGCCACCAGCGAGGGATGGTTCTCCATCAGAATCATGGGTGCCAGACTCAATTCGGAGTCATGTAACAGCCACTTTGATGAGTCGGTGAGCCCATAAAGAGGCTCTTCAGCACCGTCGTCTGATGGGTTGTGGACCGTGAAAACTTGACGTCGGACTAGCAACCTCATGATGCGTGTGAGGTAGCTAATATCCGGAGAGGGAGAATCGATTCCAGAAGCTATTTGGGACAAGGTAGTGGCGCCGCCGTGAGAGTGAATTATGTCCGCTATGCGGAGCTCCACGGCGCACTTGAGTGCCATGGAATCTGCAAAACCGAACATGTGACGCCATACTTTTTCTTGGCTTCGTAACAGTGCCTCAGCATCTTTTGTTTCCATTTCTTATCAATTCTTAGAGGTGCAGAGTTTGACAAACCAGAAGAACAGATTTATAAGAAAAAAATGCCCCACCTTGTCCAGGAAAATGTTTTTTTTTTTATCAGTAATATAAATGTAGGGAAAATGTTTTAAATAATTTTTTTATTATCTTTTTATATAATTTTATGTGTAATTTAAATAATTTATTTATTTATTTATTTAAAATTTGTTATATTAAATATATTTATTTATTTAATAATATTTAAAAATTATATAAAAATATATATAAAAATAGCATCCTTGTATCACCATTCATAAATTTATTGAAATGAGTATAACGTGAGAGAAGTTGCTAAATCACTCTTAAAATTATTGGATTGAAATAAAAACATAATTTTTTTAAAAAAAGTTAACGTATTTTATTATTTTAAATTATTGATTGAAAGATTTTATCTTAAAATTAATTATTGATATTAACAGCCATGATCACTCTGTTAAATTGTTATAAATAGCAAATGCCACGTCACAAGATTTTAGAGGGAATGATGACAGATACTGATGCCAGACTCAGTCCAAATCTTTAAATAAAAAATTTGATATAATAAAATGTGTCAATTTTTTTTTTCCACGCGTAAATTTGCTTCAACCAAATAATTTTAAGGGTGATTATGCACCTTTTTGCTTTATAAGAATATTTAAAACTTATTCACATTTTTTTATGAAAAATTAATTTTATTTTATTTTTATTTTTTTAATGAAAAACAACACTCTTTTATATATGTTTTAATTTAATTCACTCATGTATGTTTACAACCTAAATTCAAAACTTTCTAATTCAATAAAATTTCATTAAAAAAAATCGACTTAAGCGGGGCGATAAGGGGGGCATGAGAGGGCACAAAAGGAGGTTTTTTTTTTTTTATTGGTTATATACAGGACGTAACTTTTTTTTATTTTTTATTTTATTTTATTTGTATATTATATAACTTAAATTTAAAATTTTTTATTTTTAATAAAAAAATTATCACTAAATTATTTAAATTATTGACAAAACACAAAAAGAGATAGAGCACCTAAGATAATCGTATAATTTGCCACCACAATTATTTTAGACTTGAGGAAGACATTTACCTTTTTTGTTTCTACAAGATTTGGGAGACATTTACATATTATAATTATTATTGGAAGAATGATTAGTATATTATTTGATTTAATATATTTATTTTATTTAATTATTAAAATAAAGTATAAATACAATTGATTTAGTCAATTCATATATGTCATACGTGTGCTTACTTTTTTAAATTTATTTATTTTTAATTTTAGATAAAAAAAAATAATTTTTAATAAATATATTGTGCAGTATGTTCAATTAAAAGTGTACCAATCAATATCTTTATTATAATTATTGTTTAATTGTCAATTTACCCTAAGTAATTTTTAAAATTTTTCAGGATTAATTTTTTTCTAATCCTATTAAAGGTAAGTTATTCACAGAGTAAAAGATAAAAGAAAAATTAATCTATTAGGAAAATTAATTAATACATTTTTAAAAATTTAGGTCCTGTTTGGTATAGTGGTTTTGGGATAGCGGTTAACGGTTTTACCTAAACCGCTAAATATAAGTCTTTGGTAAATTTATATATTTCAAAACCGCTACAACTAAAGTGTTTGGTAAAATTTTTATTTAACGGTTTGAGACTAGCGGATAGCAGTTAGG